TTAATTAAACATCTAATTGACATAACAAAGGGATCGAATACTAAATCACTTGTGATTATATCATTAAAAGTAGTAGTCATTCTTCCAATAGGTGTATTGTGAGAAGCTCTCTGTGAATACAGTAAATAATTTAATCGAGTACAATAATTTGGAGCAGAAAATGATAATTGGGACAGAAGATAAGGAGAGTCAATAAGATTTTTTATTATTTTTAAAAGAAAAATTAATGATTGTAAAATCCTTCTGTCCTGAATACCAAGAGTTTTGAATGTATTACATAATTCAGAATAATCTGAACCTGGTAAAGGGTAAAAACCATTGACTTTCCAATTAATGAATTTTAAAAATTTTTTATGGCATTTTTCCAGACTTTCAATAAGGTATTTAGCATCAGTGTGCCAAACGAAAGAGCAGTAATCAAATTTTGATAAAACAAATGAATTAAATAATACATTCAGAGCATTAGTATTTGAAAAAGAACGACATGTTCGTAAAATAAAGCCAAGCGATCGATTTGCCTCACGGACAATATAATCAAAATGATTATGAAAACGTACGGATGTGTGGAGATATACTCCCAAATCCTTATAAGTAACAACTTTTTCCAATTTAATCTGGCTAATAGTATAAGAAAAATCAATGGTTGAAACCCTTCTAGTAAAAGTCATTACTTTACATTTTGAAACATTAAGATTAAGAAAATTTTTATTACACCAATTTATTAATGAGTTAATGTTCGCTTGTAACTTCTCACAATCTTTAGTATCATTGATTGGGGTAAAAATTTTCAGATCATCAGCAAACAATAAAAAGTCAACATCGAAATAATCGCTTATATCATTCATATAAATTAAAAATAATAATGGACCAAGATTAGACCCTTGAGGTACACCAGAGGTTGGAACAAAGCATTCAGACTTATAACCATTGCAATGAACATATTGTTGTCTGTCTTGTAAGTACGAGCAAATAAGAATTAGAATTTTCTCAGGTAACTCAAGGTCATACAGTTTCTTTAATAAGACAGCGTGACTAATACTATCAAAAGCCTTTGAGATATCTGTAAAAATAACATCAACCTGGTTATAATTTTTTAAGTAAAGTTCAATTTTTTGTAAAAAAGTAATTAAATTGGAAGATGTAGAACGACGAGGGACAAAGCCATGTTGTTCCTCCATTAATTTTGGATTGAAATATGACCATAAGATACTACTGAGGCACTTCTCAAAAACCTTTGATAGATTAGATAAGATCGCAATTGGTCTGTAGTTACAAATCTGAGACTTATCTCCTTCTTTAAAGACAGGGCATATGCGTGTGTTTTTCCACAATGACGGAAATTCACCCACATTAATTGCTAAGTTAAATATAACACTCAATGGTTTAATCAACTCCGATGCGCAGCTTTTAAGAAGTTGATTCGGGATATTATCCAAACCTACCGACTGCTTATTAGGTAATAACAATAAATTTGTCAAAATTTGTTTATTTTGTATAATTACAGGGTTGCACATAGTCTCTATAAGTGCATTTCGATTATTTAAATTATTTGGTGTTCTAGGATTATAGACCTTATTAAACCTATCTCGAAAAGCATTAACTATTTCTAGGGGAGAAGTTAATTTTACATCATTATAAAACATTATACCTGGAATTCTCGAAGTTTTATTAATATTATGAAAATAAGACCAAAAAAATTTAGGATCAATAACAACATTGTTTTCCACCTTTCTTAAATAGTCTTTCTGAGCAAGATGTATTTTACATTTTATCGATGATCTAAGGTTTTTATAAACTTCATAATAATATTCAGAATTATTTTTTTTAACAAGCTGTCTGTATTTATTTTTTAATTTCAAGTCATCAACTATATCTTTAGTGAACCAAGTCGGATATTTATCATTATTTGTAGATTTAGTTGAAACTATTTTAATTTCACTGTCCATAACTTCATACAATTTAGTATAAAACAAATTCATTGCAGTACCAATATCACAAGTTTCCTCCAATAACGTCCAATCTACCGTCGATAACAATGCCTTCATTGAACTAAAATCATGATTGATAAATGAGTATCTTTTAGAGTCAGGATTAATTTGAGAAAAATTTATATTACTAGGTGGTAAAACAGACTCAAAACAAAGTAAAAGTGGAGGATGATGTACATCGATAGGCAAAATCGGTAGGATATTGGAAGAAACTTCACATGGGAACGTAGAAATGACAATATCTAGATAACGACCATTTATGTTAAGAACATTGTTATACTGAGAAAAATTGTGATCCCTTAAGAAACTGTCAAAATAAATAGACTTAGCGTCACTCACTCCATTAGTTACAAATTCATGATAATTAGTTATATTGAAATCACCAACAATCAGAATTCTGTTTTTCCAATAGAGACAAGAAAAGGATAACGAATTTAAAAAATTTTGAAAATCAGATAATTGTAAACTGGGTGGAATGTAAATATTAACAATTATAAAGGCCACATTTTCAAAAAGAACATTAATTGCAACAACATTAACAGTAGGGGAAATTTGTTGAATATTGGATACATCAAGTTGATAACATTCAAAACGAGACTTAACGGCAATAAGTACACCACCTCCCCTTTTTTCAAGTCTATCATTTCTAAAAACTGTAAAAATTGATTGATCAAAAAATTCACCTGTTAACGTGTGAGGTTTAAGCCAAGTCTCCGTAAAAGCAATAATGTCATAGTCAAATATGTCAGGTGAAGTCAAAATATTATTAAATTTTGTGTTAATACCTCTAATATTCTGGTAATAGATAGTGATCTCATTTAACAATGATAAATTAACATTATGAGAACGATGTGTTGAATTTAAACTTGGTTCGAAGGTGGTGCCTTGGATGTCACTATTATTGGTTCTCCAAGTTTTTCTATGATCTTCAAATGTTTTTCTCCTCGAGATTGTCGTTCCTTCAAGGTTGTAATTACTTTCTGATAAAGTGTACGTTGATGTGGGGTTCGGTCGACTGTGAGAGACATCTGCAATGGTTGATTCAGTATAGGATTCTTCTTGCGTGTGTGGTAATCTTTCAAAACAATCTGGCGGGTGCTTTCTGAATTGAAAGCGAGTCGTATTGGGCGTGGATGTCCAGAATTCTGCAATTTTTTACCAATTCTAAAGATTTTTAAATTTTTTACATCAAATGTAGAAGAGAAACTTAAGAGAAAATTATTAACAGTTTGCAGTTCATTTTCATTTTTAAGATCAGCATTAGAATCCATATTATTTTCAGGGCAACCAAATAGAATTAAATTTTGCTTACGTCTGGATCTATCATTAATTTCCTTTATACACTCGAAATTATTTAAACAATTTTGTTTAGAAGTAGAAGCTGACTGGATGTTTGTAACTACTGCATTCAGATCTTCAAATTGTGCGTCTAAGTATTGATATTTAACTTCAAGACCATCAATTTTATCATTTTGATTATCAATCTTTGTAAATAAATTATCAATTTTAGAGTTTATAACGTCTGTTGATTTATTAAATTCAGAAATTAGAAATTCCTTCTGTTCTTGAATAGCCATTGTCGTCTCCTGCTGGTTTTTAGATAAGAACTTATCAAACATTGCTTCAAGGTCAGTTTTTGTTATTGAAGAGTCATTCTGAGTGCCTCTTAACGATGGAGAGAGAGAACGAGGTTTAAAATTACAGCATTTACGTGTACCTGTTGATTTCGCAATAGACACACTTCCACAACTAGGATGATAATGAACTCCACAATTGCAAGTAATATACTCTCCGGCAATAGGATTAGAACACTGGTTGCACTGGATTTTATTCGTGTCACTCATTTTCACAGAAGAGATAAATATATTGTCACTTTATATAGAAAATACAATATACATTTAGCTATAGTCACTGTAACAGTTCCACCAAAAACAGAAAATAATGTAATATCAGTGAAAAAAACTGCATCACCAAATGCATAAACACATCACTAAGTAAAAAACGGCAAGTCCGAAATAATGTCCGAACTCAAAACATCATTATATTATTTAAACCATAATAAAACTCAAAAATGTCAGGAGCGACCAAATAACACGTGCTATTCGTGCGACATACTATGCATATATATACTATATTTTATTTAACCTAAATTTTTTAAATTTGCAATTTAAATTTTTTTATAAACTATAAAACCATTCTATAAACAAATTTCAATTTTTTTAACTACATAATTTAAAAAATATATACAAAATACAATACAGATAAAATTTGCCCAATTTCTATATTAGGATACTCAATAGGTTTTATACCAATTCATGTCAATAAAATAAAAAAATTAATAAATAATAAAAAAAAAGTTCTGATCTGGGGGTCTCACTATGTAGACTTTATGTTTTTTGAGTCGCTGAATCCAAATCCGAGGTCCATTTAACCTCATCAGATCAGGATTTTGACATAACCTCAAAAAACCAATATGGCGAACACATTTTTGAAAAGTTCATCGGACTCGCTTGAAATTCGTTACTCGGGGGTTTTTGGGGTCGCTGATTACGAATTTAAAGTCAGATTTCAAAAATTCAAAATGGCGGATCCAATATGTCTGTGTCAGCCATATTGGATCCGCCATTTTGAATTTTGAAAAACCGATATCAGATTCGTAATCAGCGACCCCAAAAACCCCAGTGTAACAAATTTCAAGCGAATCCGATGAATTTTTCAAAAACGTGTCCGCCATAGTGGATCCGCCATTTTAAATTTTTGAAATCAGACTTTAAATTCGTAATCAGCGACCCCAAAAACCCCCGAGTAACGTGTTTCAAGCGAATCCGATAAACTTTTCAAAAATGTGTCCGCCATATTGGTTTTTTGAGGTTATGCCAAAATCCTGATCTGATGGGGTTAAATGGACCTCGGATTCGGATTCAGCGACCCAAAAACCATAAAGTCTACATAGTGAGACCCCCAGATCAGAACTTTTTTTTTGTGTGGCTGTGTAATCAATATAAAATCTGATTAAATGGATAATTTACTTCTATTATAAACTCTCCCCTCCAAAAAAGGTAAAGTTAACAAAATTAACACAGAAGTTCCTAAAGCTACAACCCCCCCCCCCCCAATTTACTAGGAATAGACCGTAAAATTGCATAAGCAAAAAGAAAATATCATTCAGGCTCAATATGAATTGGGGTTACTATAGGATTAGCTAAATTAAAATTTTCAGGATCCTCTAAAACATAAGGATTTAAACAATTAATAAGTAATAACCTAATAACCTTAATTAATAAAACTAATCAATCTTTGATAAGAAAATATTTATGAAAAGGGATTTTGTTTAAATCACTAGAAACCCCTAAAGGGTTTCTAGACCCAAATATGTAAAGAGAAACTAAATGAACTAAAACAATAACCAAAATAACAAAAGGTAAAATAAAGTTAAGCCTATAAAACCGTCTCAAAGTGGCACTTCCCACCCTAAACCCTCTTCACAACCAAACAACAATATCATTCCCAATAAAAGGAATAGCTGAAACTAAATTTGTAATCACAGTTGCCCCCCAAAAAGATATTTACTGTGTTCACACTGAAAGTTTGATCCGCGAGTTATTGTTTTTTTTTACTAATGTCGGCAAATGCATAAATAAATTTGGTGACTATTATGTTTTACGTATGTAACGGACATGATTCATATAGTGTTTGACCTACATGTGCCTTTATTTTGAGTGTAATTTGCCCCCAATGGTTTCTTACACGTGTTTGACTGAATTTGTGCTCATCTTTCCAAATATGGTGTTTGTGAAATCCCTGAAATATATTTTATAATCCTCAATAATACTTAATAGACGTATTTATGTGAAGTGGTTTCCCTGTCGTTTACTTCACTTCATCTTTTTGGATTGTACCTTGAGGTGGGGTTGTTTTTTTATTACTTTTTGCGATTAAATCGGACATCTTTTTGTATGTGACTGTACTTTTATTAGTGTGAGTTTTATATATTATAGTACCTTTACTATGGCACATGCAAATCAGCCGTCTGGTGACCTTGTCAAAAAGAACAGTAAGAAAACTACAGATGGTGCCACAGAGCGCAATCAAACTGTGAGTTGTACATTATGTAAAGGTAAAGTCAAACGTATATCTGATAATCCCTGCCCGCTCTGCTCATCACCTTATCACCCGGCATGCGCTGCTAAGCAGGCCCTCGTTCCCAGCGGTGGATATAAGAAGTGTTGTGGCCCCCCATCACCTTTTCGTGATTCGTCAGAAGCACCGCCCTTCAGCCAAGATGACAATATAGATTCTCTAAATCTCCGCTCACTACTTAAGCAAGAATTGAATTTATTCAAAAATAATATTGGAGATGAAATTAGAAGCTTAACATCCGCCATCACTGAATTAAGTGCAAACTTTCATTCAATGAATGATAAAGTTGATAGATGCATCGCTAACAACAATGAAACAGCTGATCGAGTAACGACCCTGGAATTAAAAATTGATGAGCTGAATAAAGGTAATATATCCTCAGATGATAATGTCGATTCGTTTCTCTTTGAAGTTGAAGATCGTCTCAAAAGGCGTAATAACCTTATGATTTACGGAATGAATGAATCAGCCCCACCACTTAATTCTACTATTCAGGAGACTGACATATCTAACGTCAAGTTGATGTTGAATCATCTTTGTCCTGATCTTGATTTTAATAATATAAAAATGTGGAGACTTGGCACTTTCTCTGAGTCACAGTTAAAACCAAGACCAATAAAGATTGTTTTCCCTCACGATCTATATACTTCACAGATACGCGAAATCTTCTTGGAGAAAAAAAAATGAGCAATCTACCTCCAGACTACACTCAAATTTCAATTGCTCCAGACCGCACAAAACTACAGCTACTCAAATATCAACAAGCAAAGCAGGACCTTCAAACCAGAATTCAACAAGGAGAAACAAATCTGAAAATCATTCATCGTCTCGGTTCTCCTCTCATCGTCAAAACAAAATAGTTCCTCGTACATCTTCATCTTCAATTAAAATCTTTTATCAAAATACTCGTGGTTTAAATTCAAAACAATTGAGTGTGAAATGTTTTCCAGATTTGTTAAACTATTCAATTTTTGTTATTACTGAGTCCTGGCTGAAACCACATATTAATTCTTATGACTATTTTGATTGTTCTTCTTTTTCATGTTTTCGGAGTGATCGGATTGATCGAAGAGGTGGGGGAGTGTTTGTATCTGTAAGTAGTGAATATAATGTTAATCTTATCCAAGACCTAAATTTTAAAGCTTATAATATTGACATTGTAGGATTAACTATAACAAAAAGTACGCTATCTTTTTTGTTGATAGCTGTTTATATTCCACCTGACATTCCAATATTCTCCTTTACGTCCTTTTTTTCTGATTTACAAGAATACCAAATTTTTTATAATAAAAATGTAATATTTATTGGAGACTTTAATTGTCACTTAACATCATGTAACACTAAATCTACGGTTTTAACAAATTTTTTATCTTCTTTGAATTTAAAACAATGCAACTTTATTCCTAACTTTTTTTTAAAAATTTTAGATTTGGTTTGCTCCAATGTTAAATGTATTACTTCTAAAGCTACATATCCATTAGTAAAGGAGGATATGCACCACCCGGCTCTCTGTATTGAAGCTACAATCCCTTCGACACATAAGTTTTTGCCATCTATTTTTAATACCAGCCAGGATCAAGTAAAATTAAAGTTTAATTTTAAGAAGGCAAATTTTTCGGGCCTTTATGTATATCTGACATCTATTGATTGGTCATTTCTGTCACAGTTTGACAATGCTGATTCTGCGTGTTCAAAATTCTTACAAACTATTTACAGTGCGTTCGAACAATTCGTGCCTATCACTTCTAACAATAATTATCGTAAACGGCGTTATCCACCTTGGTTTGATCAATCAATAATCAATGACATCAATTTTAAAAATAAACTTTTAAAAAAAAGATGGATAAATTCAAATTATTATAATTTACAAATAAAGATTCTTTCAGCGTCTATTCATAAAAAAATTAAACATAATCTTCACAACTATTCGAGTGCAATTGAACGTAATCTTAAAGCTAATCCTAAACAATTTTGGAGTTTCGTTAACAATAACAAGCCAAGGTCGAGTATACCAGACTGTATGTCATATGATAACTTTGTTATGGATGAACCACTAGATATTGTAAATGCATTCAGAAACCTTTTTTCCAAACATTGTCAAACTAATTATAATAATCCTGTGTCGTCGTTCAATTTTAGTAATCAGGATTATTTTTGTAATACTCCTTTTCAATTAACAAAAGAATGTGTCCTAAAGGCCGCAAAAAGCCTAAAGAATAATTCTACATCTGGTTTGGATAACGTTCCGAGTTTTCTGATTAGAGATTGTGCTTCTGTTCTATGTGAACCACTCATGTTTATATTTAATATTGCCTTAACAACCGGCATTTTTCCACAAGAATGGAAGTCAGCGAAAATATTACCAATTTATAAAAGTGGAGATAAGTCATTCATTAAAAATTATCGTCCTATTGCCAATATCCAAAATTTCGCAAAAGTTTTCGAGCGATCTATATTACAAACGATTCAGGCATATCTCTATCCAATTGTTATCGATGATCAGCACGGATGTATTAAAGCAAGATCTACAATTACTAATTTAACACACTTTTCACAATTCATCAATAATGCATTACAAAGGGGTCTACAAGTCGATGTTATTTATTTAGATTTTTCAAAAGCATTTGACACAATTAAACATGACATACTTTTTCGCAAAATGAAACTTTTAAATTTACCGAATAACTTATTACAATTATTAATGAACTACCTATCAGAAAGATCACACCAAGTGTCTGTCGGAAATTTTTTATCAGATCCTTTCATTCCTACATCAGGAGTTCCCCAAGGTTCAGCAATGGGATCTCCTTTATTTACGTTATATATAAACGATATTACTAAGGACGTCTCATCTGAAGCCTTAATTTTTGCTGATGACTTAAAGATCTACAGAGTGATTAACTCTCTCGATGATATAGAAGTATTGCAGTCTGATATTAAAAAAATTGAATCGTGGTCAGAAATTAATAAAGTTTCACTAAATATTGAAGAATGTCATTTTATGACTATATCTAGATCCTCCAATCGAATCCTTTCTATGTATAAAATTAATGATATCGACATAGAAAGAGTTGTAACAGTACGTGACCTTGGGGTGGTTTTCGATAGTAGATTCTCTTTTATAGACCACATATCTGATGTTGTAAGTTCGGCCTCGGGGGCATTGGGGTGTCTTATAGGATCATGCAAGGCTTTTAATAATATTTCTACACTAATTACCCTGTATGACTCTCTAGTGCTTTCGAAAATGAACTACGCTCTATTTCTTTCTAATCCTTATTATGATAAGTATAATGATGAATTGGAAAAAGTTCAAAAAAGATTTTTAAAGTACCTAGCTTTTAAAACTGACGGTATTTACCCTCCACGAGGGTGTGACTATGATGCTCTTTGTCGTCGTTTCAATTTTTTAACTTTATCACAGAGAAAAATCTATTTTGCAACATTATTTTTTTATAAGATTCTATCATCTCAAATTTACGCTCCACAACTTTTGCGCCAAATTCCATTTAGAATACCCAGAATTAATTCACGTAAATCTGAACCTTTTTATTTGACTCCTCCACAAAGTATAATTGGTGAAATTGCTCCTATTTATTTTTCATGTAAACATATTAACAACATGTACTCTACGTTAAAGCCAAATCTCGATTTGTTTTGTTCCTCTGAGAAGGAGTTTAAAATAATACTTGAAAAATATTTACACACTTTGTTGTAATAATGTACTTAGAAGTGATAGATTTGATTAATTTGATGTGATTTGGTTTGATTGATGGTGTGAAGCAGTACTTGCGCACAAATTATAAATATGATTGTTACTTTTTATATTTTTTTTTTATTTTAGTTTTCGTTACCCATGTATGGTCCAATTGGACTGCGGGATATTTTCATAAATAAATAAATAAATAAATTTGACCCCAAGGTAGTACATACCCTAAAAATGCCGCTCCTATAATTATTAAAAATATAACACTCCCCCTTAATCAAGGGAACATCATTTTATAAGATCTTACACGGAGAAAATTTCTTTCGTAATGATTACAATAGTCTATATTACAGCTCGGATATGTGACCACTTTTTGTAATGATTACGAAAACTATGTCATTGATTAAGAATTTAGTAGGAGCGATTACTATAGTTACTTTAATGAATCCAAACACTGTATTAATCGTGTTGAAATTTATTTTTTGGAATCATTAATAGTTTAGATGTACAGGTTCAGAAAGGGTACTGTAGGCATTCACGCAGAGACTTGTTATAATTACAATAGTCTACGTTAAAAGGAAATCTTGGATACTGTTCACATTTGTAGCGGTCTAAGGAAATCAGTGATACAGACTGTAGTAGCCTTTACAACAGGACTATTGTAAAATAAGGTGACCGCGGCTGCCTTGCCTTCTTATTTTACTATAGTTCTTCGTAAAGACTACTATTGCTATATTTCTGATTACAAATGACTGTTGTAAAGTTAAAAAAGAAAATTTTCAACTAAAATAATTTTTTTTGTAATTCATGACTTGCGTAAAGTACGTAAGTTGCCTAATTAGTGCAATTTACAATAATTCGCCCATTACGTAACTTAAGTTATTTTCGTAAGTGCAACTTACGTTATTTACGTAACTTATATTTTTACGTATCATACATTATTTACGCAACTTATATTTTACGTAATTTACGTAAGTTAACTTACTTATTTGTGTAACTTACTTTTGTTATTTACGTAACTTGCGTAAGTTGTGTAAATTATATAACAATTTATACAGGCAAGAAATCTTGTACCTTCGGTGCGTGTGTTAGAAAAAAAATTTTCACTATGGAAATGTAATAAAAAATAGACCTTACAATATTAAAGACTAACAATGAACAATAATTGTATTAATTATTGAGAACGAAGTGATTTTTTTACATTTAAAGTGTATAAGTCTTTCTGGCAAGCGGTGAACTTTCATAGCAGTTAGTATATAAGGAAGTTTAAGTCATGTATAAATATGTGTAAATAGCGATCGTTATTATGTTATGCGTTTAGTATTTAAGTTAGATTTATGTACATAGGGTTTAGTGAAATTGTCTAGTTTAATAATATAATTAATCTTGAAGTGGGTAGTCTTGGAAGAGTGAAATTAATGTGCAATACATGATTAGAAGTCATGAATTACAAAAAAATTTTATTTTAGTTGAAAATTTTCTTTTTTAACTTTACAATAGTCATTTGTAATCAGAAATATAGCAATAGTAGTCTTTACGAAGAACTATAGTAAAATAAGAAGGCAATAAGGCAGCCGCGGTCACCTTATTTTACAATAGTCCTGTTGTAAAGACTACTACAGACTGTATCACTGATTCCTTTAGATTGCTGCAAATGTGGATAGAATCCAAGATTTCCTTTTAACGTAGACTATTGTAATCAGTCACATAGACTTTGTGCTAACTCATATTTAGTTCGTATTTATTTCAAATAAATTTTTAATGAGTAAGTTCGACTTACAGAATTGTTACAACGAAGCTACTTTAGGCATTACGAAAAGTGGTCACATATCCGAGCAGTACTGTTCGACTATTGTAATCATTAACAGAAAATTTTTCTCCGTGTATATATAACCCTCGTCCAATATGCATAAATAAACAAATAAAAAAAAGAAGCTCCATTTATATGAATTAATCGAATAGCCCACCCATAATTAACGTCATGAATAATATGAATAACACTATCAAATGCCAAATCAACTCTAGAATTATAATACATTGTTAAAAAAATTCCTCTTAAAATTTGAATCCTTAAACATATCTCTAATAAGAATCCAAAATTCCACATTAAATTAATATTAATTGGGGTAGGTAAATATAGGGGAGAGTGGTCCTAAGTTGGCCGCCTAAGCAAATTGGTCGAAAATAGTAACAAAATGAAATTTAATCACTTCGGCAAGTATATATTAGTGTTCAGAGATCGTTTTGCTATAATTTTGTGGTATTTAGAACGTTATAGAATGACTTTTGTAGTCTTAATACAATAAATCGTGAAAAGCTGCATTTTGGACATTTCAGAAATAGCGGTCCTAAGTTGGCCACCCCCTGGTCCTAAGTTGGCCACCACTTTTTTTCGCTTGAGTATAAGGAAGAAATGCATATTCTTTTCAATTACGCAGAAATTTTACAAATTTGATACATTTAGGAGAATAAAAACGCATTATTTAACTATTTTTGTTTAGAAAATGAAGCAATATTTTATTTCATTTATTTACAGTGGTGGATGGCTGTAGAGACAGGCGTTTTTGTACTTCATTTTTTCTAATGTTTTTTAAACCATTTTTTTTTGTTTTTTGTCTTTGTTTAATTCCTACGTTACACTTTTACGGTCTTTCTCGTGATAAAAAACACAAAAAAGAAATAAAACATAAATAAAAACAAACAAAAACAATAGGTGGCCAACTTAGGACCACTGTAGATTTTTACAAGTTTCAAATTATTACGCTAATAAAAAAAATTTATTTAAAAAATCAACAGAACCTCTTATTACAACATTAAATAAAGGAACTAGCGCACACACTTATTTATAAATTTTTAATTATTTATCTCTTGTAGCTGCTCTCGAAAAAACAAGAAAAATCAAATTTTTTTGGTCAAAAACAATATTATTGTCCTCACAATGCGTAGAAGAATCTTAGATTATAATTAGGTCCATAAATTATATCATGGTTTATCAATATATCATACCACAAAATTATAGATTCGTCCAGTATACCATCTCTGAGAAATGCAGGGTGGCCAACTTAGGCCCACGGCCAACTTAGGACCACTCTCCCCTAATAATTCTTTTTTTAAATTACTCTTATAAAAAATTATTTTCATTATAATATTTGTCGTATAGATTTAGTTTTAAATAAAAATAAATTTTTACAACTATAACCGAAAGATATAAAAGATACAATAAAATAAAAATTATTATTAAATCAAATTTAATATAAATTAATTTAAAGGAATTAAAATTCCTTTCTAAAACAAAATTCTTTACCTCAATAATTGAATCATTCCCCCTAATTAATCTTTTAAAATAATCTACTTTTGATAAAATAACGTAAATTAAACATAAAGTAAGAAGCTTATTCAATGTATTAAATAAATCAAGGTACCTAACAATAATGACACCATCTGTAGCAAATCTATTAAAATAAAGAAATAGAATTTAAATCCCCCCAATTATAACTACATAAAAAATTATTGAATAAATTCGTATTGTATTAATAACTCTTATTACTAAAATTACTACTATAGTAATTATGAATATAGCCACCTCTATCATTATAGGGTGCCTTTCTTTAATTCTTACTAACCTAACAAGAATTAAAAGGATAATAAAAAATAAAATTAAATAAAAATTATATATATTATTCAAAAAATAGTTTAAATAAAAATTTTAATTTTGAAGATTAAAAATATAATTTTTTATTTTTTTGAAATATCTAAAAAATTCTTAATTTAATTTTAATTTACAAAATTAAAGTTTTACATAAACTACTTAGCTAAATACCCTTCCCTATTTTAATTTTAATAATCTATTTAACTTCAATTTTTTTAATCACAAATTTATACCCTCATTTACTTTTAACCCTAATATCTTTAGAAATTATAATAATCTCCTCAATCTTAACTATATTTTATATATTACTATTAATTAATTTTGAATATTTTATTATAATTATTATTTGTGAAGGAATTTTAGGATTAACAATTTTAATTATAATCATTCAATTTAAAGGTAAAGGAACTTTAAATTCAATAAATATAACAATTTAAATTACATGAAACTGATTTTTATCTTAACCTTTTGCCCTATTATTTTTATCACCCCTTTAATATTTTTATCACTACTAAATTGAACCCTTCTTATATCATTTTTATTTTTAGTAAATTTTACTCCTCTATACTCCTTAATAAAAATTATATGAATAATTTTTTCGACCAAAATTCATTTTATTTTACTTTATTAACTATTTTAATTTTCAGATTAATAATTTTAATTTGATCTAATATAAATTTTAAAGAAATTTATTTAACTTTATTAATTACTTTAATAACTTTCTTAACCCTATCATTCTTATTTATAAGTTACTTTACTTTTTATATTTTCTTTGAAGCAAGAATAATTCCAACATTATTTTTAATTTTGGGGTGAGGAGCTCAATTTGAACGTATAGAAGCAGGAATTTATATACTTATTTACACCTTATTTGCTTCCTTACCTTTAATAATTATGCTAATTAAAATATATTATATAACTAACTTCATGAACATCATTTTATTAATAAATTTAAATTTTTTAAAAAATATTTATTTCTATCTATATATATTACTCCCATTTTTAGTTCAACTCCCAATTTTTTTTTACACCTTTGATTACCTAAAGCTCATGTAGAGGCCCCAGTAACAGGGTCAATAATCTTAGCTGCCATTATATTAAAATTAGGAGGATATGGTATTTTACGAATAATATTTATTTCAGAATATTTAAACTCAATTTACAACTTCTTTATTTCTACCCTAAGACTTTTAGGAGCATTATTAATCTCTTTAATTTGTATAAAACAAATTGATATAAAGAAATTAGTGGCCTAATCATCCGTAGTCCATATAAGTCTGATAGTTACTGGTTTAATTTCTATAAGATTAACAGGAATTCTAGGCAGTTTAATTATAATAATTAGTCATGGTTTATGTTCCTCTGATTTATTTTTTTTTAGTAAATATTTCTTACAGACGTCTAAAATCACGAAGAATACTTTTAAATAAAGGTTTAATAAATATTGCTCCTTCCTTAACTTTATTCTGATTTATCTTAAATATTTTTAATATAGGGGCCCCCCTTCTCTTAATTTAATTAGTGAAATTTTATTAATTAACAGAATCTTAAATTAAAGATTAAATTTAATTCCTTTAATTATAATTTTATGATTCACAAGTGTTTTATACTCAATATATTTTTTATAACAACACAACATGGAATTTTAAATAAAAACATAATTATATTTATTTCAATCTCAATAAAAGAATTCTTAGCTTTATTACTTCATACAATCCCTTTATTTATTATAACATTAAATTTTTACTATTTAAATAATTTAAAATTTTAATTTGTGGAATCAAAAATATATCTAAAAATATTTTAAATTATAATTAACTCCCCTTATTCCAATTCTTTATTTATTTTAAGAAGGCTAACTTTTTTTATAGATTAACATTAATTTTTTTTTAATCTATTTTTTTTATTAAACGAAACATTATTTCTTTAATAAATATAAATTTTGAATAAAATTTTATACTTGAATGACTAAGTCTAATATTTATTAAAGTTGTCATATTTATTTCTTCTATAGTTATACTATACAGAAAAGAATATATAATTTTAGAACACAAAAAAATTTACTTTATTATAATTTTGATACTTTTTGCAATTTCTATAATTTTAATAATTTTATGCCCTAATATACTAAGGATTATCCTAGGCTGAGATGGGTTAGGATTAATTTCTTTTTGTCTAATTATTTACTATCAATCTTCAAATTCTTTCAACTCTGGTATATTAACCTTGCTAACTAATCGAATTGGAGATATTATACTTTTAATCCTCATTTTTCTAGGTATAAATTTTAGGTCCTGAAATTTTTCTATCTACCCTTCTAATTCTCATATTTTACCCTTAATTATTTTAATTATAGCCATAACTAAAAGGGCCCAAATCCATTTTTCTATATGACTCCCTGCTGCAATAGCTGCCCCAACCCCAGTATCATCTCTTGTACGCTCTTCAACATTAGTAACAGCAGGAGTATACGTAATAATCCGATACAATTTTATATTTACAAAAATAACTATACCCCTTTTAATTATTGGATTAATAACCTTACTACTAGCTAGAATTAATGCTATATTTGAATTTGATTTAAAAATAGTATATTGTGCAACAAGTACAGAAAGAAGCTGTACAGAAAGAAGGTATTCTACAAATAGAAAACAAATACCTTTGTATATCACCAAAAAAACCCAAAAGTTTAAGAACTTTGCCGCACAAGTGCAACAAAGTAAGCACTCTGCCGCACTAGTACAGCAAAATAAGCACTTTGCCGCACTAGTGCAGCAAAGTAAGCTCTTTGCCGCACTAGTGCAGCAAAGTACTGTTTTGCGCCTACTTTACAGGCATGCAAAGTATTACTTTCCTTACAGGTGTTGCACAAAAATTATTGCTTTTTCCACTTTAAGCCAACTAGGCTAAATAATCCATATACTAGCTTATCCACAACCAAACTATGTATTTTTCCATCTTATTTCGCATGCTATATTTAAATCTTTATTATTTTTATGTTCAGGAATCATAATTCTTTTTTAATAAATTTACAAGATATCCGATTAATAGGCTCCTTAATTTATGAATCTCCTTTAGTAATTATATTTTTTAACTATTCTAATTTATCCCTCTGTGGCTTTTCTTTTCTTTCAGGTTTTTACTCTAAAGATTTAATGTTTGAAATAACACTTAACTACAGAATTAACCCAATTATTATAACTTTAATATATATTTTTCTATCGCTTTAACTATTTTTTATTCTTTTCGACTCATATTATACTTAACTTGCAATATACCACACTCTAGCCCTATAACCCTTAAAAAAGATAATTTTTTAATAAATTTTTCTATTTTCATACTATTTATTATATCTATTATTTTTGGTAACTTAATTAATTGACTAAGATTTAATAGAATTGATACAAGAATCTTAAATTTAGAGAAAAAAAATTTTATCCACTATACAATAATATATAGAATATTATTTTTTTTTAATTCCTTAAACCATTCATCTTATTATAATTCCAAATTATTATACAACATCATCCCTATATGTAAAAATTTTATATTTTTAAGACAATTATCTTTTTCAATAAATTTTTTTACCTTTAATATAATCAATAAACTATTTTATTTAAACGAAATAATATGAAACGAATTTTACACTAAATTAATATTTAACTTTATATTTTTTAAACAAAAAAAATTTTTATCTTTATATTTTTTAAATACTTTAATAAATATATTTATACTACTCCTACTAATTATAACTTTAATTTTCATTTTAAGTTAATGGAAAATTTTAATCTCTTTAATGTATATTATTCAAAATACATATTTTAACAAATTCATTAACTTAAATCTTTAACCTTTTTCTATTAATATACAATTAATATAATTCATTTAATAAAGTTTAAAAATTAAATAATTAAAACAAATAAATTAATTTTAAATTAAATAATTTAAAATTACAACTAAAAATCTTTTCCAAATTATTATTTTAAATTTATCATACCGAATTCGAGGAAATCTACCCCGAAATAAAATAATTAAAATTATTACCCCCACCCTTCTCACTATTCTAATACTATTATTATTTAATACAAAATAAAATAATATAAATAAATAACTTATTAATATAATTATTCCACATTCAGATACAAAAATTAGCTGAATCAAAAGGAGTCCGATTCAATTCCGCCACTACCCTAACTAAAAATATTAACATTACCCCTCATATATAAATAGAAGCCCAAATTTTATCTTGAACCCCTAATATTTTAAATATATCAAATCTTTCAATTAAAAATAAACTCCTTAAAATAATTAAAATTAAACTAACCTCATAAGAAATAGATTGCGAAATTGCACGAATTCTACCTAATATCGAATATTAAGAATTTGAAGATCATCCTCCCAATATTATTATATATACCCCTAACCTCAAAAAACAAATAAATAACAAAATTCTTACCTCTCTAATTCTTATATTAAAAAAATTAGGTATAATAATTCATAATATAAATATTAATAATAATCTTAAACAAGGACTTAAAAAATAAATTATATAATATAAATTTTTAATAAAAAATAACTCTTTCCTTAATAACTTTAAAGCATCTCTAATTGGTTGTAAAATACCTTTAAACAAATTTTATTAGGTACTTTACGAATTTGAACATACCCTAAAATTTTTCGTTCTAATAAAGTTAAAAAAGCTACCCCAATTAACACTATAATAATAACAATTAAACTTCTTACTAAATACTCTAACCAATATATTTCATAAATTTTTAATAAAAATAATTATTTTATTTATGAAACTTAAATTCATTGCACTAATCTGCCATATTAAAATAATTTATATAAAATTTGTATACTTTTAACTTTGAAAATTAATAGTCTTATTAACTTAAAATTATGTAATAAAAATAAGTTAATTAAACTTTTAGATTCATAATCTAACACTAGACAAATAAATTCTTTTTTATTCCCACCCCCAAAAAAATTATTTAATTTAATGATAATAAAACTTTAATTTATATAATTTATTACATCATAATAATCCTTTATTCAGGCATATCATTTATAAAAAAATTCAAATATTATAAATATTATAAATTTATATTTAATTAATTTCTAAAATTAATACACTAATCTGCCTTAATAATTTTGTATATAATAATATTATTTATTCCGTTAAATCCCAAAAAATTTTGCGATACTTTAATAAAACACCAATATACAAATTTCCCTATTTAATTTTAGGTTCCTTTCTCCCTTAAAAAATTAAATTCTTGAATATGTTACTTTAACTACATATTTAAGTCGAAATTAAATTCTAAAACTTTAGATTTACCCAATTACTAAAATCAATTTAATGACCCTTCTTTAAACTCATAATACAGACCTAAAATTAAAATTAATATAATTACACAAAAAATATATTTATAAAAAAATCATTTTTCTTGAATTAAAATAATTCTAGGTAAAATTAAAGTAATTTCCACATTAAAAATTAAAAAAATAATTCTAATCAAATAAAATTGAATAGAAAAAGGCACCTTCCTATACGACATTGGGTCAAACCCACATTCAAAAGAAGATATCTTATTCCGACATTTATATATTTTTTTAGTTAAAATTAAATTAATCCCCATAATTAATCCCCCTAAAATTATAATAATAATGTTTAAAATAATAAATATATACATATAAAAATTTAAAATTTATCAATGTCACCAATAAACTAAAATATAAACAAAAATTCATACTACATCAACAAAATGTCAATACCATGAAGCAGCCTCAAACCCAAAATGATGAAATTCATTTAAATGATTATACCTTAATCAAATTAAAATAACTAATAAAAAAATTCTACCAATAAGTACATGCCCCCCATGAAATCCAGTTGTTAAAAAAAATAGAACCAAATACAGAATCTCTTATAGAAAAAGGATCCTCATAATATTCTATATACTAAATTATTGAAAATACTATCCCTAATATAATTGTTCCAAAAAGCCCTACTTGCCTCCTTTCATTATCTCTATTTAAAATCCTATAATGTCTTCAAGTTACTAAAACTCCAGATGATAATAAAATTACTGTATTTAGTAAAAGCAATTGAAAAGGATCAAATTGAAGAATATTTCTTGGGGGTCAAACCCCTCCAACTTCAATATTTGGTGATAAAGATGAATGAAAAAAAGTTTTAAAAAATGATAAAAAAAATATAACTTCAGATAAAATAAATAACATTATCCCTAATTTTAACCCATCCACAACTCGTCTTAAATGCCTCCCTTGGAAAGTCCCTTCACAAATTACATCTCGTCACCATTGAATTCTACATAAAATAATTCCTAAAAGACCTAAATTTATTAAATAAATAAGTTTATCCCTAAATAACATAATTCCTCCAATTATAGTTCTCATAACTCTAAATGATCTCAAAATAGATCAAGGCCTTACTGTTACTAAATGAAAAATCAAATTATGTAATATTTTCATAATTAGTTTCTGAAGAATATAAAACTCTTAAAATAGAATAAACATAGGATTGAATAAAAGAAACAGCAACTTCTAACACTATCAAAATACATTAAATTAAAACTAGTAAAAATACCATAATACCTAATATCACATGTGATTTCCTTATTAAAGTAATTAAAAGATGACTAGCAATAATAATAATAATAATAATAATAATAATAAAAGTAAATAAAAATATAAATAATAAAACATTTAACTTATTAAAATTAACTAAAGAAATTTTAATCTCATTAACTACCCCTATTAAAATTAATTTTCATACTATACAATATTTACTTGATAAAACTCAGTATAATTGAGGAATAAATAAACTTAATGACAATATTCTTACTCAATTTAAAGAATAATCAATTCTTCTAAAAGGATCAAATATTCTAAATAAATTAGTTATCATTTAATAATTCATTTACTTAACAAAACTTCATCTTTCTTAATTTTTGTTAAGTAAATTTTTTAAAAAAATCCTCTCATTAAAATTATATAATAAATTCATAAAATTCATAAATACATTATTAGTAATAATCAATATATATAGGTTTTATCTGAGGAATTAATTAAGAGTATTAATAAATATTACTATAAATAATTTAAAAAATTATTACTTTAAACTTAAGTTACTAAATTAAACTAAAATTATTCTATTTATTCTTCAATAAACTCTTCTATAAAATCTATAAAATCTTTTACTTCCCTACCTTCAATAACAATAGGTATAAACCTATGAGCCATTCCACAAATTTCTGAACATTGCCCCAAATGAAATCCAGGTAAAGATATATTAACCCCTCCTTGATTTAACCGACCAGGAACAGCATCAACTTTAATCCCTACTGAAGGAACCGCAAATGAATGAATTACATCTTTAGAAGAAATTAAAAATCGAATTTGAACATCTATTGGTAACACTAAATTTTCTGTTCTATCTAATAACCGAAATCTCCTTAAAGAAATATCCTTCACTATATAAGAATCCACCCTTTTCCTTATACAATCAGAGTATTCATAAGACCAGTACCATTGATGACCCACCACTTTAACTGTTAAAAAAGGTGAATAAACTTCATCTAATATATATAAAATTTTTATAGAAGAAACCCCTAAAATCACTAAAGTAAAAATAGGTACAATAGTCCAAATAATTTCAATCTCTTGACTTTCTACTATTAAAACAATAAATTTATTCAAAGAAACATTTATAATAATTTATAAAATTAAAACTACAATAATTAAATTAATTTATAAAGAAAAATCATGAAATATTATTATTCATTCTATTATTGGAGAAGCTGAATCTTGTAATATTAAAATAAACCATTGTTTCATTTTTTACTTAATTTGTAATGAACCTTCTAAGTAGGAATGTCCTAAAGGAGGAGCTAAGTGCAACCACTCTACTGACACTATTAAATAATACCAATCGTTTCACTATAAAAGATTCTCAAATAATATAAATTAATATTAGTATTCTTACAATTGAAATTAATGACCCAATTGATGACACTATATTCCATATTAAATAACTATCAGGATAATCAGAATATATACAAAATTTTGACTTCTTCCCTAACCCTAAAGAAAATTCTGATACACTCTAAAAATGATTAGATACTCAAAAAATGTTCTATTACATTTATATACCAATTTATGAAATTATTTAAAAACTAACAAAAATTGACTTTGATTTTTGATTTTCGTCAATTTAGTTAATAAATAATTAAGTGTTTACATTTACCCCGAGAATTCAAAAACTCGGGGTAAATGTAAACAGAACTCAAACTACATTTTAAAAGAAAATAATTGAATAAATTTGCTTCTATTTCACAATTTTATTAATTTGTCAATGTAAAATTACATAGAAAAGGAAATTAGGTCCTCTTTAAAAAAAAATTTGAAATTTTTTTTTAAATTTGATCAATTTTTAAAAATATTTTTAGGTTCATCCGCTATTTTGAAAATTTGAAATTTGACTTCAAATTCGTATTCAGCGACCTCAAAAACCCCCGAGTAACCAGATTCAAGCAAATTTGATCAATTTTTAACAATATTTTATGTTTGACCGCCATATTGGATCCACGATTTTGAAATTTAAAAATTTGATTTTAGATTCTTATTCATAAAAATAAAAAAAACTTCTTTTTACCAAGTTGAATAAAAATTTATTAAAATTTGTTCAAGTTATTCAAGTTTTTACATTACTAATTTTGTAATGGTTGATTGTTTATTTTATATGATACATTATCAGTCAACTGGTTGATTTACTATACATCTACGAAGAATTTTTTTCAGTTTTTCCATCCCTTAAAACAGTAGTATACTTGAAATAACTTGTTTCTTAAACCTCGCTTAACTACAGTGGTGTTTACATTTACCCCGAATTTTAGGAAAATTTCAAAATCTCGGGGTAAATGTAAACAGTCAGTTTTAGGCGATTCAGGTGCATCAATATTTTTTTGTACCTCATAAAATTTTTCTAGGGAAGTAAAGTAACAAGTTCATGCAAAAAAAATCCGTCCGTCTTACCTTTTAACAAAAAAAAAACTAATGTTTTTGGTCAAAAATAGATATTCCGTTTAGATTTACCCCAATTGACCCTAATGCTTTTAATAATCAATTATCATGTAAAACTTTAACTGAAATTCATTTTAAAATAAATTTTTATTAGATAATTTAATAATTTAAATGGAAAAATAAATAATTTATTTAATATTTAAAATTTCTTAAAATTGAAGTCTCATAAAGAATTTTATCAAAACATTTTTTAATCATTGATTTCTTTTAACGATTTTTCATAAAATTTAAGAACAATTTTTAAGAACAATTACATTTTTCGATGAATTTGATTAAAATTGTATTAAAAATAATTTAAACTCTGCCATGAGTTTTATTTATGAAAATAATTGAATTTCTAAAAGAAATTTTATTATTTATAAAAATAATTAAATTATTGCGAAGAAATTTATAAAAATATTGTAAATAATAGATTTCTTATTAAATTTTTTAAAAATAATTGACATTTTGACGAGAATATTAAAAAATTCTTGAACATAATTGAATTTCTGCGAAAAATTTTATTACTTTTGAAGATAATTGCATTTATGCAATTAGTTATAAATTTTCAAAAATTCAATTTATTATTGGGAGGCTTAAAAATGAATTTTGTGCAAAAATGAATTTTGTGCAAAGTTAGCAAAGCATTCAAAATTCTTGCTCACAAATTTTTTTAGTTTTTTTGTTATTTGTAACAGGAATTTGTCGTAAATTACTGAAGTAACATTTCAAAAAATTTTAACTAATTCATTTTCTCACCCCGAGTTAACAACCTGACTCGGGGTGATCGATAATTTCAACTCTATTATTTAATTAATTCATTTTTTAAAGGCAAAAGTAAGGCACTTATATAATTTTATGCAAAGTTAGCAAAGCAGTGATAAATTTTGTAAATTCTAATTTTTAACGAAATTTATTTTTCTTACTAAACGAAAAAGTAGACATAATTTGATAATTTCTATTTTGTAATCATAATTTTCGCACAAAATTTTGTTTTTTTTTTAATATTTGAATTCATTTTTGTGATTACACATGTGTAATCCCGTTTTCATTGTTTATAGGCATTATTATTAATTATCTATTGATACTGAAAGAAACTACACGCGCGCTTTAGCGCGCGTTTGTTTAGCTGTTACAAATACAATAATTTAAAAAGATAACATTTTTGTAATTTTTCATAAATTTTTCGAAGAATTTTTTATTGAAATTTTGTAAAGATAATTTTATTTCTTTTGAGTAATAATAATAATAATAATAATAATAATAATAAATTAAATACTTCATTTGGCAGGCGTGACAGTTGCTACTTATTTATATTTCTTAATAAAAAAATTTTAAATACAAATTTCATAAAACTGAATTATTTCTTAAAAAAAATAAAAAAATAATTCAAAAAAAAAATCAATTTTAAATCTGTAAAGTCTAATTATTGTTAAAAACAGGAAAAGTTTGAAATAAATAAAATCTTTTTAACGCTGAAGAATAACATTTAGAATTTTCTTATGAATTCTTGAAATTGAATATTATTCCAGCACTTTTGACAAAATTCTCTGCTTTTTTTCTTATTTTCCTGAATAAATTTAGAAAAATAGTGATTTTGTGTAGAATACTTCTGAATAATGGAATATTTTAATGTTAATGACATGAAAATAATATTATTTAATTTTGACTAGAAAACTATTAGAAACAAAATAACAAATAATTAATTAATTGTAATTTATTTTTGATAATTAATAAGTTAAAAATACTGTAATAAACATATCTTCCATTATCGTCTCATTGGCAATCACGCTTTTCTATGAACAATAGTCAACCTTTAAATATAACATGCTTAACGGAATAAAAATTTAAGTCTTATTCTCATGTGACATGTAATGTAAAAATTACATTATTGTTATATATGTTAAAAGTGAAATAAGAAACTTCACGCGCGCGTTATTTGTGCTAGTGCAATATTAATTGTGGGATAGATTCGAGTGCTTGTTTGTAAATCAGTATTTTTGTTTTTAATTGAAAATTTGAAATATACACTTTCGAAAACTGATGATTAAATTTATATTGTAATTTATATTGTATCTATATTGTACGAAATCGAAAAGAGACTAACTACGATTTCCAATATTATAATATTGGAAATTGTAGTTAGTCTCTCTTCGATTTTGTCAACTAACAGTTGTATTTTATCAAAATGGCCTGTGTTGATAGTTATATTCGAAATAAATGTAAGGAAGTTATTAAAGGTTGTAGTAATCGAAGTATGTGGAGTGAAAATCAATTGGAAATTGTGAAGTTAATTTTAAAAAATTCTCAGTGCGGTTTGCCGCAATAAATAAATAAAAAAATAATTATTATTGATAATAAAATATTTGCGTTAATTAATTTTGACATATTTTTTTTTAATATTTCTGTTGAGTGACACATGCACATAGTCTCATTTTTCTATTTGCCAGGTGCTACTTAGGCAATTTCCTTAACGCCTAGTCAATAAGCTAAATGACTAATTGATTTCAGGCAAATAGAAAAATAACCATTTTTCACGATTCATTTATGTACTTGCCGGCATTTAGCCCAATGCCTAGGCATTAAGTTAAATGCTGGATTTTTCTATTTGCCTACGACATGTATATACAGTAAGAATACAATTATTTTTTGTTTATAAAAAATTGTTATCAATCTATTTTTTAATAAAAATTATAAAATTTTTGTAAATTGAAATATTTTCAAGTTATATAAGTAATTAAACAGATGTATACTTTGAAAAAATTAGATTTTCAAAAATTATTTCTAGGAAATTTGACAATTTGACCAATCATAAAAAATATACGTAGTATGCATGTATTCAACTATATATGTTATATACTAATCAATAAAAACTTACCTTTTATTTACTTTTTAATTTAATTCATTCAATCACACAATTCACTCAAGAGAGAATCCGAGACGAATGTCCACACGCTGTGTGAAAAATCAAATTGACTATGTTCCACGTTGCGCGCGCAACTTGTCATGGCATCTCTACCAATTACTACCGTTATCATGAAATATACGTAAAGACAGTTGCGCGAGCAACTTCTCATGTCATTTCAACCAATCGCGACCGTCACCATCTAAACTATACGTAAAAACAGTTGCGCGCGCAACTTGTCATGGCATTTCAACCAATCGCGACCGTCATCATGAAATTTTAACCAATCGCGACCGTCACTATAAAATCTTCAACCAATCGCGACCGTCACTATGCAATTTTCAACACCAATCACGACCGTCACCATCTAAACCCAGCAAGAAAAATTAGCTGTTTTTCTATTAAGGATATTAAATCGAGAAAAAGATATTTTAAAAAAGACATAATTTATTTAAAAAATAAAAAAAGACTTTCCAGTTCACGTTTACCTCCACGTGGTTAAAGTTGGAAAACATTAAAAATATTTTAAGTATTTTAATAGCTAAAGACCGTGATTATCGAATTTCAACTGAATTGGACATTATATTCGTCATCAGCGACCCCAAAACCCCCTGAGTAACAAGTTTCAAGCAAATTTAATAAGTTTTTAAAAAAAATTGTCCGCCATATTGGGTCCGCCATTTTGAATTTTTAAAATTGGACTTCAGATTCGTGATCAACGACCCCTAAAACCCCCGAGTAACAAATTTCTAGCTGATCTAAACACTTTGAATAATTTCGTACCTTCGAATCAAATTTTAAAAAAAAAATTAAACTTCAAACTCTATTTTTGAGCCGCCATTTTAATTTTTAATTTTCTCTATTGTCTTATCTTCTAGGTTATATATCTATGTCACGTTATTTGTAACATTTAGAATTATTTTTCCGCTACTTCATAGTAGAAAAAATTGAAAATTAAACCAAAATTGGAAAAAAATCGGATTTTTTTATAAAAGACAATAATAACTTTTTTATTTATAAATTTTTGACTTTTTTTAACGCCATTTGATAGAGCGCATATAAAAACATAAGAACTAATGATTCATGAATTTTTTCATTGATTTTTAAGTACCGAAATAAGTCTTCAAACTTCATGCCAAAATTTTGTCCATTTGGGCGTTAAAGGGGTCATTCCAGTTCAAAATGAAAAAATCGATTTTTTTATTTTTTTATTTTCGTGTTCCTTATAGTCTCAAGTATACTCTCCTTAAATTTTATTGCAAAATTCGAAGTGAAACAAAAGTTATACGTACATATTCCTTGCCATGTCAAAGATGTTTTTATACTTACCAGAACCCTTTCGAATGATTAAAATGTTTCCTTATTTGCCTTTTTCAGAAAAGACATATAAAATGTATTTGGGGTTGCTGATAACGAATATTTTCGACGATTTTTAAAATTCAAAATGGCGGATCCAATATGGCGGCCCAATATAGTGAATAATTTAACAAACTGATACGATTCGATAGCAAATCGTTTCTCGGGGGTTTTAGGGGTCGATGATTACGAATTTAAGGTCATGTTTGCAAAATTCAAAATGGCGGATCCAATATGGCGACCAAAAATGGCGGAAAATTTAAAATTTTCGCCATATTGACATCAATTTTTTATTTTTAACATAAAATTCGAATTCAGCGACCTCGAAAATCCCTCAGAAACGAATTTCGACCGACTCGCATCAGTCTTGACACTATCCGCCATTTTGAATTTCGAAAAATCGATATCGGATTCGTAATCAGCGACCTCGAAAACCCCTGAGTAACGATTTTCAAGCCAATCGGGTAATTTTTTTAAAAAATCGTTCGCCATATTGAATCCGCCATTTTGAATTTAGAAAAATCGATATCGGATTCGTAATCAGCGACCTCGAAAACCCCCGAGTAACGATTTTCTAGCAAAATAACTTGATTTTTTCGATTTAACTTGAGGTATATAACTTATCTAACCAAAACTTTAAGTGTTTTTCTCAAAATGTACTTTTTTGAACTAGTAAAAGTGATAGCTTGAGTTCTACTGAACCAATTTTGAAAAACCAAACTGCGTTTGATTCATTATCATCATGGCTAGGGGTGGAACCTCAAAAACTGGAAAATTTGCGGCTCCTTTTTTTCTATAAGAGAAATTCTGAATAAAAACATGTGTTTTTTCATGTTTTGGGGAAAAAGTGCCCTAAAAAAATGAAGGGGAGGAAAATTTTACTTTTTTGAGGTTCCACCCCTGGAGAAATATCTAACGAAGAGAATGTCGTTTATTTCATGTCTCTATCTGTTTTAGAACTCTTAGAATCGTTTTCACCAGGGGAAATAGACATTTTTAAAAATGTCATGTATAACCGCCATCTTGGACTAAAACTTAAAAAAATTTTTTTTATGTTCATAAAAAAATTGTTTATAATATGTAAAAAAAAATTATAAATAAATGTGGTAATTTTTTTTAATTAAATCCCAAAAAAGACGAATTTTTCCCTGTTTTAAACTGGAATGTCCCCTAAAGGGTTAAGAGGTCGTCTAAAATCTCACGTGGAAATGTCCACATAAATAACACTGTGTTACAAAAAAATATGATTTCAAAAACTTTTTATGGGACCTAGTGGAGGTTGTAGGGCTTGAAAAGCTGAGCAAAATGGTATATTTTAAATTGCCTAAATACCCTCAAAATTTTATTTTAGAGCTAAAAAACCGTTTTTAGGAGTTAATCCACAAAAAACCTGATAACTTTCTTATTTTTTGACCGATTTCAATTTATTTTTTTTGTTTGGAAGCTGAAAAACAGATCTTTCCAACGCTATAAATATTTTTATCGTCTCTTATAAAATGACGACAATAAAGACCAAGAAGTTTTAAAAAATTAATTTTTTTTAGTTAATTTTTCTAGTTTCTTATAAATTTGTAAATGTTATCTCGCATATGGCGGTTTTCACGTCAAATGTCCATCCAAAAAAAATTGTTGATGAATCAATCCCCAAATTTTTTTATGAGTTGTCCTATAAGTAAGTAATTTATCAGCCAAATATTTTTGAATTTTATAAAAAATTATGAGAAGTGGAGGGGGTAGAAGTTTTGAGTTTTTATGTGACACGCACTACTTCGTTTATTTATTGTATTTTAACGAGACAATGCAAAATAATTTTCGAATATGGTATCTTTAGGTTATTTCATAAGCTTTCGATTGCCGTAGTCCATTTTAGAAAATTTTTTGATTTTGACCAAAATTTTTGAAAATTAAGGATAAAATTTAATTTTTCTCATCTTCGGGCTCGTTTTTCTTTTTTTATTTTATTTTTATTGGAAAGTTGAGGTTTTTTCCCAAAAAACTGTTAATTTTCAGAGAACCGATTTTTTTTGTTTTCGAGAAATTAAATATTGAATACAGCGCGTCACGTTAGCGCGCGGACGCTTCGCGGTGCGTCGCTGTACTGTACGGTACATAACGAACTTTAGATTACTGGCAATGGATGTGTAAAGATTATAAATGTTATAAAAGGTTGTTTGAACTTCTCTCTGCATTTTACAGGGTTAAGACTTCTATTACAATAGTATAATGCCTGCATTATTATTCTTTTATTTTATTTTTTTTATTTTGAATTTTTTTTGTATCCCTGCTTTGCAATATTTATTATTGCAGTTTTCTAATTTTTGTTTTTTATTTGGCGTAGGAAAATCATAATCTAAATTACTGCCTGTTTCTAATTTTTTACAAAAAGGGTAAGAATTCCTGAAGTGGGCCCCTATTTTTCATTAGGTCGGTGAATTTTTCTCATTCTTATATGTTTCGATAGCGTATAATGGTATAATAAAAACCTGTAAATAGTTTTCCGAAATTCGACTATTTGTCAAAGCTATTCATTGTCAAAATTATTTGTAGCGTTTTAGTAAATAGCTAAATACTTGCGATCGGATAAACCAATTTTAAAAAAAATTGGAGGAGAAATTACCTGAGGAATTGTACTTTAGATAAATGATGAAAATTTTAATTAAAAAATATAATTTGTTGAAATAAATTAACTTTTTAATTTTAGGGGATAAAAAAAATTTTTTCTTGATCTTTTTTTGGATTTTTTTAATAATCAAATAGACAATATTTTTAAGATTTTATTTGCACAATAAAAAAGTAGGATTCTTTATCATTTTAGAAAATATAATATTTTGAGTTACAAAAATTTTTGAAAAGAGTAGTTAAGCTAGGCGGGTTCTGGGCCACTTACCTACAGTCGGTAAGGTAGATTTCTTTAATAGTGAACTTTCAAGTGGCTTAGAAGGGGTATTCTGTTTTACCGACCGAGTTTTAGTACTGGCTGTCACCGCTAGATGGCGCCACTTTATTTTTGTTCAATTTAAACCCCCTTAGAGGGGTATTTAAATTTTTATTTTTGAATTTTCAAGTGGCTTAGAAGGGGTGTTATGTTTTACCGACATCTGAGTTCAGGCTGCCACCGAGAGATGGCGCCACATGTGAATTCTGACCCACTTGGCGGGATATTTAAATTTTTTATTTTTAAACTTTCAAGTGGGTTAGAAGGGATAATTTTAAATTTCGCGCCAAAATTACCAATAATTGTTTTAGACAGACATCGAATTGTAACCCCGTTTGTGATATATTACAATCTTTTATTATTATTA